TTCCCTACAAAGTCTAAAAATAATGTTAAATTTACAAAAAAATGGATCACACATTTGAATTGAAATCAGTGACAGTACCAAACTAGCATTTATCTTAAGCAACAAGTAACTTACAAACTAAAAGTTATAGACTAGCTTTCAAAAAAGTGCGGTAGCTGTTCAAAAAGTATATAGCAATAATATTTCCAACTTACATAATTACAAATCTGCATTCGCATTCTCACGAGTACTCTCAATTCAAATTCACGGTTATATCACAGCCGTCATCATTATCGTACAGCTTCGACTGATTGTTATTATCGAAGAAAGTATAATCTTCAGACTAATTTTCCCCTTTCTCCCGTGGGCCGCGGTGATTCTTTCATGGCTGATTGTAATTCCGCACGTGAAAACTGGTTCTGGTTGCAGTTCTTTTTCTCTTCTTAGACTCGGTAAAATTTCTGAACCGCCCATTCAACATTGTCCATTTGCGATTACAGATCATCCTGGTGGTCAGAAATACCGGAAAGTCAAGAATTCGAAATGGCACTCGATTTTCATTATCTTGCCTGTATATCTGTTTATTTTTGCTACGTGGCCTATGAAATGGAAAACACCAATAAATAGAGAATAATAAAACTTCAGAATATGCTTGTTTATATTTCCATTCGAATAGACTTATTATTGAAATAATTCTCGGCGGCTGGGAAACTTCTGGTAAGGCAATGGTAGAGCGCATGAATGTGTGGTCCTGTAGGGATCGTTAGAATTGCCCGCCATTATGCTTCCTAAAAATTGCTTTAATTCGAGACTTATCCTTGCTCCTAATTGAACGTGTGGCATATTTGTGTAAAGACATGTAGTGTTACAAAGTGACAAGTCACCTTGAATCTTGGCGATTCTTAGCAAATTTGATTCGAAAAGTCGATAACTAGAAGAAATATAGATTAGTGATTATACGATGAAATCTGAAGCGTTTTTTAGACCGTGAACTCTCTCCCTATCTTTCAAACTCCATTATAGGTGGCGGCAGGTATATGAAGAGAAGAAAGGTAGAGGTACCGAAAGAGAGCGTAAGTGCGGCGCGAAAGACTGAGAGGGGGGCAGCGTGTCTCCTTCCCTCCCGATGTCATTCTTTTTTACTTCGCCGCTCTACCTTTCTCGCCTCCCTTTGCTCCCGCTACGCTCTCCTACGTCGTCCTCTTCTGGGAAGAATCATAACGCTGGACGTAACCTGCCGCTGGCGACAACCTGCCCACAGTTACCACGACCTTGTCCGATGTGCACCTCAGCGCCAGATACACCGGGTGGTCCCCTAGCAGCCATCAAGATGAAGCAACAACAATCTCTCCTCCAGTTTTCTCCTGCTTAATGCCAAGCTCCGACCCTTGACCGTTCGGAACTCGCGCCCTTTTACGTCCGAGGGTAAACTTTGTGCTAAATTCAGTATGCTTGAAAAACGATGCTACAGCAATTGCGTTTTACGTTCATGACTACAAGTTTTTTTTTCTTTTTTTTTTGAAACTTTGATGATTCTTGTAAAAAAGAATTATTGATTAAAAAAAGAGAGGATTTGCGTTTCTTATTTTAGGTAGATTGAAGCTAACATACATGAGCTCGGAAAATTAGCCGGATTTTTTATTATCATTGATAAGATTGATAAGTTATTCCATTAAATTTAATATTTAAATTTAATATTTACTAATGAATAATTACTTATGTGTATGGCAAACAAAATGAACATTTAGTAATATAATATGGTTTTAAAGCAACGTTTAAAAAGCATGCAGAAGTTTGTAAACATGAGAATCATCAAATTGGAAAATAAATTAATTAAAATCCATTAATTTGCTCTCTAATAAATTCATATTTATGTAAAATCATATACTTATTAATTATTATAAAACTTATGTATAGTGTCATAAAATATTGAAGTCTTTTAAATAATAACACAGTGTCTTTTTTACTATAAAAAATTGCTTTTATCAACATTAAAATTAGTATAAAAATGATAATTGTATCCTCGTATTTTTTGTTTAACAATATATAAATTTTACTCGTATTAATGAAAGGTATATTCAATAAGCAGTGTTAAAATTTTGATTCTTTTTAAAATTAGTGTAACTTTTCAATCGTTAGAAAATACAAACAAAATATTTTTATTTAAGCGAAGATCATTCGAATAAGCACGTAGATCCTTGATTAAATTATATATACTTGTGTTATTATTTATCGCGTGCTTCGTTATAATCTAAAATTTCATTACGTTACAGCGATTCGAAAAGTAAATAAAAAGAGATAAATTAAAAAGAAAATAAAGATGGAAAGTTAGATGAAATTGATACGCATTATAGTAGATTTATTTCATCTTCCACACTTTCAAATCTGATGTATATTAATGATAAGTCGCTCAACAAATAAGTGCTACCATTAATTCAAAGTAAATTGTATAATAAAATTGTATATTTTTTTAATCAATCTAAAAAATCGTTGAAATAACGGTATATTTTTTATTTGCATAACGTAATTTGCAAGTACACACACAAGGCTTTCAATTGTCAGTAATTAACTCTTGTATTTTCAATTTATGGCTGGAAATGCCAGTTTCTCAACAAATAGAAATATGCATAAAATGATCATAAATATGTCTGAAATCAAATCTATTGTGATTTTATAAATAATAATTTTAAATAGAAATACATTTTTAATACAAAACAATTTTTTTAAAGGAGATAAATATTAATAAATGGAAAATCTTTTTCTCATTCTACAAAAAGCTTATGAAAAAGTAACTTGGAACGATGTAACTTAATATTTATTTCAATAGATATTTGGCTTATCTAAGATAATTTTAATATTCGTTACAATTAGATACTTTTCATATATACTTATTAAAAAAATGCGAGAAATTTACGTTTCTTTGTTATTATAGATTATTTCTTATACATTGAACAGAATGATAAATCGCAGAAATACAACCGCACAAAAGGTATTTAATTTGATTGATTTAACGATGCTTCCACGAAATTTCTATCATTCTCATAGGGCTATTTTGTATTGTATATTGTTTTGGATTGAACGATAGCCTTATTAGCTCAATTTATCTCATCAACTTTTTGACTTTTTACTTTTATTAATTAAAATTAATAAAATTCAGTTGCATTACTAAAATGAGGGAATTACTAAAATTCAGTGCATAAGATTGTATGCGCGACATATCATTACACATAACATAGAATATAAGAACATCCAATTGCGCCATCGAATTGTCGTAACTTAACTAGAAATTTAGTGTATTGTGCATGGATGTTCACGTGTAATTTCAGTTCTCATACATTAATGTAAGAAAATTTCCCGTAGCTGTAATGTAACAAATAGTTTTACTTCGCTTCGGTAAGCATTGACTATGCTTCCATTACTATGCAACGCTGATGCAAGTTTGACGAAAATTCTCAGAAACTCAAATTTAAGACAATCCTTCATAAAATGCATTTCATTTCAGTGTGCTTATAAAATACGGAGGTATCGTGGGATGTACAAAACCACTAGTAGAAAGTAGAATCTCAAGTACCGGGAAGCTCGTATTTTTGCGGATAGAATTCATAAACAAGCTCGACGCGGCCATTGTCAGTGACAACAAAAACAACGAAAAAAAGGGAAAACCAGTTGGTAACCGAATCCACCGACCAAGAGAACTAAAATTTGGATGATCTGCTGCCCCTTGTATTGTAGTTTCAGCCTTTTCCCGACCCGTTAAGCTAACTCTAGGTTGTAAAAAGATGGTCAATGAGCGCGAGATGATCCACAATAGCCAAGTAATATATATGATCTCGGTTTCAAATGTCAGCAACAATATATGATTGTTCGCTATTCCAAAGCTAAACAAAAATAGGATTTTAATATATATAAGCTGTTGAATTGATTTACAATAATTGGAAAAGAGGCACTGTTCTTGGGGATGATTTTGTGTTTTGAATTTCTTACGCTACGAAATTGTCACGCTCTATTAATAATTATTGCTGATATTGCAATGTCATTAAGAGGAAAATGTTCGATTATAATAAGTACGATATTTGTGTTGTAAGAAAACATGCGCGAATAATACACGATATGAGTAATTATTATTAATCAGAAATCAGTAATTTATCAAATCTAGCATTAATTGTATTGCTATGAAAAGCCAAAGAACCACTCACACACACGAACTTTACTTAAATTAAAAGTCTTAGATTAAAAATCTTTTTTTTATTGATATTTGCGCAGCCTCGAGCGATCGAGGAATTACGTCGATGGACGTCGGCTGAAGCCCTAGGTAACGTAACAGTCGCCCCAGACTGCACATCTCGCATCCTGGGGGAAACAGTGGACGACAGCCAACCGGTGGATCATAAGCTGCCGAGTCCCGAGGAGCAGCTCCAGGCAATCGCCCTCAAGTAAGAAACATGATCATTAGAACTTGTATTTAAGTAATAACTAATAATAAAATTAATCAATTAAAATTATCGTAAAAAAGCGTTTTACAAATTACTGCCTGCCTAAGTTTTCGGCGACTTTTGTAATTAAAAGTTAAAATAAACAGAATTTTCTGAAGTTTGCGTCTTTATAGATTTTTTAAAATTCTTACTTTCATTATCATCATGATATAAGTGACATGCAGACATATACAGCTAATTTTGAATGAACAGCGAACTATAAATAGCTTAACAACTTTTATACGCTCATTTGTTTTAAATCAATTAATGTTTTTATTTAATTAAAAAAAGAATTCTATTCGTTGCGTTGAATTATTGAGATTACTAAAATGAATTGGATATAAGGTAGTTACATTGTTTGATTAAAGCAAAATTACCTATGCAAATATCAAAACTATTTAATTACGATTCGCCATTTCGAGCGTAAAAAACAAAGTGAAGGAAAATGAAATTTTCACAGATTCCCAGCTGAGATCGTAGCAGTAGATGTTAGTGGTCGAGGTTTCCAGCGCATGTCCATGCGACGGAGATCGATGCACACAGGTCAGGAGTCACAGGAGACGGTGAAGAGGCGCTCCAGGCCACGCCGGCCCAGAGGCAAAAGACGGAATACTATCGCCGGCACAGATCAGAAAGAGATTCGTCAGGCGATTGGCGGGTGAGTTGACCCTCGGTCCCAAATATCAGAATTTATTTTTCCAGTCTAACTATACAAGGAGCTAGATGAGTGGCCTCGGTAACTAGGGGCGCGAGAATTAACAGATAAGAAGCCCTCGCACTTCATCGTTCCGGAGCAATTCGTATCGTAGCGGTTAAGCGATTAAATGCCTTTAAAATACTTTATCAACTGAATATTCACCTTCATACGCTATATACAGAAGCTACTGAGAACAGATTCACGATTACATTGACTTTGAATCACGATTGTAAAGGTGTATGCTACACGATACGGTTAATGGCTGGACAGTGTGGTGATGCACAATTTTTGGTAATGGGATACTGTGCTGTGTATTTTCATTATTTCAATTGTTGCTACTATCGGCTTTTCATTTTATGAATAACAGTGTTTTTTTTCGTATATTTTAATTTCAATAAATACGTTTAGTAAGTATTTAAAAAGGGATTATTTATACTTTTATGATAAGTTTTGATACGTAACAAAAATCAAAGACACGGTAAAATAAAAAATTGAATAGTATTCGGCTACGAAGTTACGGCAATGTTAATCGACGGTAATTACGGTCAATTTCCGTTTATTACAGTTGCATCAGAGCTGCTTTGCATTCGTTGCTTTCGTTAATAAGAACGTTTCTTAAGCAAAATATCTCATATCGAGATTTATTTATCAGTAAAGAAAAAATTATTTTACATTACGAATTGTATGAAAACTGGTTCTTATAATAACCTCTTCATGTTACTTATAATTAATAAGAGTGACAAAAATCTCAGTTCGATAAAATCTTTATAATTCTACTTTTATTTCGTTTGTACATATTTAGCCACTTTTCTTTTGAATTACATTAAGTAGCATCCTATCACATAAAAGACAAATACGTCATTCTAAAATTAATAATTGTCTTAGAAAGAGAAGCTATTCAAGCAGTTAATTTTAAAAGAAACGTATTAAAAGAACTCGTATCTCTAATTTAACTCGATAATTTAAAGAGTACTACTATTCCGGAGAAATAATTCCTTTACGAGCAGCTTGATAAGTCCTTTTACAATACCATTGACTCAAGCTTGCCTTCGACTGTGTATTTATCAAAAACACGGGAATTAATGACCGGCGTCCGTAGGGAAGCGACAGCGGACGAGCGAGAGGAGGCACACTCGATTAGCGGACCCTCGAAACGGGCGCATCGCTCGGTGAGTACGGACCTGCTAAGAAGCGGCACGAAGAAAGACTCGAACGTTGAAAAAAAATCTCATTTCAACACGCTCAAAGCATGGGGCAGATCCAGGCTGAAACTCATCAGTCCCAAATCCAGTCAGCAGCAGCAGCAGCAGCAACAACAACAACAACAGCAGCAACAGCAACAGCAACAGCTAAACTACATGGTATGGCTTAATTGCACGTCTTTGCACGTTAACTGGAAATCTCTTTGACAAATGTTTTACTAACTTGCAAACGTATTTTGAAATACAAACAAATTATTTCAGTGTTTTTTGGGCTAATGAATACCGAAAGGTTTTATGTTTAATGTTTAAAAGTTTGTTGAAATTTATCTTGGCCTAAAATAACTCTTGTATATTTTGAAAAACAATTCAAGGAATAGAGAATGCTTATTGTAAATATTATATATATATATATATATATATATATATATATATAATATTCACATATATAATTCATATATATATATATAGTACATTTGAAACATTATATACACATTTTTATATAATTTTTAGATAACAAATGATTTTCGGACAAAATATATTGTTCGTTAAAATATGGCAAATTAATCTACGTTCATGTCGTTTTAAATAAAAACAATCCATAACGAAACGCATTTTTTTTCAAATTAAAATTTGATATTTATTTTGCATATCTATATATCATTCGCAATAAATAATTTTAAAGTTGATACAGTTTGTCACACATACAATATGAAATATTACTAAGTCTTATACAATTAGACTCTCTTTCAAACTTTACGCTACTTGCTCAAAATGAATTTCCTTTATTCAAAGCGGATATTCCACGATAATCGTCTTTTCATTCTAAACTGAAAGTGAGATCATAGAGAGTGCCTCGTGAATCTTGTCACATACATCATCTTACACTACAATCGTACTACCCGCCATCGACAATTATTTCTTATCTTTGAAACTGTAATCTACGAAACATACCAACATCCAAATAATAACAAAGTCTACTTGAATTTATTCACTTTTTGCGTGAGAATTCACTTTTGATATCCATTGAATTTTTCCACTTTCATTCCCATAGTTGTCTAACCTTCTTTACTTGTTGACTTCAGTGCGCGGATGTTAACGGCTCAACGACATCGTTGGTAAACCGCAGCGCATCCGATCAGCGGCTCTGTAAGCAACAACAACAACAGCAGCAACAGCAGCACCAACAACAGCAGTTGGAGGACGAGATCCTCTTAGCCAATGAAGAACTGCATGAGGTCGGCAGCAGACGCTTACGGCGGGAGAATCCCAAGTCGTCACACGAGCGCAAACCGAGTTCGTCGAGTTCCAGCAGTAAGAGCACAACGTCGAGCCTTGGAACTCTCGTAGCTAAACAAAAGCTGCAGGCCCAGCAGCCGCCGCAGCAGCAGTTGCTTCAGCAACTTCAAATCGACGAGCAGCTCGAGCACCCAGGCGGTCCTCGTCCTTCGAATGTGAAACTCCGGGAAAGCGCGGCCGAGAGGCGCGAACGAAGGAAGGCTAGAACCGACGAACCACCGCACTCTAGCTCCGGCAATTGGAGCGCTTCCTCCGAGAGCGGCAGGGCCAGCATCGGCAGTGAGACCACCACCACCACCCATCCGCCCAGGTACATTGCTTTACACCAAAGGTGTACCCCAGCATTACGGGGCGCGTCACTGTTGTTTTTACTAAAAAAAGATAGCTGGGTTGCTTTAACGAAGAGCACTTTCGCGACTATATTTATTTATCTTATTTATTTATTTATATTTACATTATCTTTCGAACGCGCAAAGACATTTCGTGCAGCTTGCGCTGATTATTGGCTATTGTAATATTGGAGGATATTTTTATTATAAATTTTCATCTTGCAACGTGCATACAATATTTCAATTTGTGAGTAATATCCGTGGACACGAGACTTTTAACAATGCATATTATGGGGGGGGGGGGGGGCGGTAAGAATGTAATGAATAGCAACGACCTCCAGGATACGAGACCATTGTATGGACTGCGTAACCATGATCAGTTATATACATTATTTTGAATCATCCTTGTACGCTATACAACGCCAAAGTTTCTCCGTTATCTTATCTCTCTGCTTTTATCTTTAGTTGTACTATTATCCAGATCGGCTAATGTCGAGTGATATTATATAAAGTTGCGATCGTATCAACGAATTAAAATAAACGGGATTAATAAGTTTGATCAGATAATGCGAAATGTTCACGAACTGTCCAACTTAATATTTTCTGGCTCATGAAGTCTTAGTCAATACTTATATGTATATTTCTACAGAACTCTTATAATCTTTCATCATCTAAACTAGATGGCTTTAAGTTCAAAATATTACGTGTCTATATTAAAGAAAAAAGTGCGCTGAAGTTTTGTGACGGTCTAATTAATCTTTAGTAAAATTATTATAATATTATGATATACATAGGTAATAGCTGAGAAAAATTTGAATTCGTATACATTGATTTGTATACAAAATACCAAATAATTTGCAGTGTATATTTTACTAAATCATTTCACAGTCAGTGTACACCTTATACGACATAAAGTATCTTAAATCATAAAGTATATAAATCTTACTATATTTGTGAATGTACACAATTTATTAAATGCGAGAATATCCTTAAGAAGTAAACATTTTAATTAATATCGAATATATTTTTAACTTTTTTCTTATTTATTAAAGGACTCCATGTTATTATTATATTTTAGTAAATAGAATATACAAAGAGTATATTCTATCAATATTTGCTGGTACTCATGTACTAAGTAGAAATTTGAATTAAAAAAACCTTATGTTTATTGATCGAATATAATGAGTTGTTAATAAATTATTGATTAAGTGATAAGCGAAGGTATGCAACAACAAGATGAACAAGGAACAATATTTTTATATACCTACAAAAGGGAAAAAAATTAGATTTAGAAATCACAATAAACTTATTTTATGAACCCTATATCGAACAGAACTCCATTTTATTTTATTCTAATATACGATGCGTATAGAAAATGTTTAATATAAAATTTTCATAAAATATAGTGTCATTATCTCTCTATTATTCAAAATCAATAGATATTATTTATTGATTATTTATTATCATAATATCATTATCTGTATCTTTTAAAATAACATTAATATTTCAAAGCGTAAGAAAGTTATTTTTTCCATTTGAACCAATTAATTAATCTTAATTATTATAATAAATAAAAAATTGATTCATTTATTATAATTTATTTTTTATTTTGGTCTTTCATATCTTATTTAAGATTGAGAAAAATTAAAAATTGATTTTAAAATTTTTCTGTTAAACCAAAACCTTTCATTTCAATTGAAAAGTAAAGAGATGTGAACTCATCAGTTCAAAATATAAAATGTAATAATAATGATATAAAGATAAAGATTAAATATATGGATATATAAATTTCAATTATTAAAGACGATATAATTCGATAAAAAAATCTTGGCATATCTTACAATGGAAATGCCAGAAATAAAGAGCTATAAACATATAAATATATCGTAAATAACATTATAAATAACTCATACTTTATCGATTATTAGTCGAAATAACTTCAAACTACTTCCGTTCTGTACTCACGTTTGTTTACAATGAGCAAATATTTAAATAACACACTATTGTCACACGTTATCCTAAGTAAATATTTTAATACAATATTTATTTTCAAATACGGAATTGTACACGCACGAAAAGGTTTGCTTCTCTAATTCCGTTCAATATAACCGGATCTCTTATTATTATTCAGGTTCACTTTTTATTTAAGTCTTTTATAAACGAATTTTTTTACTATTTCGTCACACTTCAGTCTTAAAATAGAGTCGCAAATTGTTTCGGGTCGTTAGAGAGTCAAGTCTTTGAATACAAAGCAAATATCGCTTTATATAATCGTTTACAAGTTCGTATTAAATATTTAAAAATAGATTATTTAAAATAAATTTTTTGTTTAAAATAGGAAAACTGCTAATACTGTGGAACTTATTGGCGTCCTCATTTTTTCATTCCAATAACTATTCGCATAACAATTATCGAGCATTAAAATAGTCATCAATATCTGACGCTCAAATCCAAATCCATATTAAGCATTATATTAATTAAATTCTATTAATAAAATAAAACAGCCAGAAAGAACAACTAATCTCCTTTATTCTTGCAGATCAACAACTACAGCTTCAATCGGCACATCCTCCACCTCTCTGTCACAGGCGCGTCGTCTAAAAGGCCGCGACAACTCGGCCTCGTCCTCCGTCACTTCAGAAGGCACCCTCACGCCGGACATCATTCAGGACATAAGCGTGGTGCCGTTCTCGGATGACGGCGAGACCTCTTCCGTGTACTCCTGCGACACCGAGGGTTACTACACATCCTTCCACATGGACTCTGGCTTGAAGACGTTACGCGAAGAGGAGCCGCCCCAGCCGCCGAGTCCCCTCACCAAGACGAACGAGCTTCAGTCGGATCCGACCTCACCCCTTATCGAAAACGAGTATGAGCTTTTCGGTAGGGGCTCGACTTCTACGACTACGAGTTCTGCCGGCACCGTCTGCACGACACTCATGGCCCCGCCGCCACCCGAACGCAAATCCAGCTTGACAGTCGTTGCTATGGTGCGTTTGTTTTTATAAACGTTTAAATTCGTTGGCAATTCGATTTGACCTAATTTCTCCGTAATTATTGCCGACTCCATGGGTCTTTTGCATAGTCGATCAAATGAAGCTTATTCAAATTCTTCATTTGTTAAATCGAGTTAGTTGAATATTGTGGTACATATTTTACATAGAATTTCTAGCTGTGAAGCTTTGCTTAATTAGATTTACTGTATTTTTTTAGAATAGTTGATCTTTTGTTATACCGATTAAGTGAAATTATCGACAGTAATTGGATACGTTCCAATGAAATTCATCTTTAGCTTTCTATATTGGGCGTTAGATAAATTTTAAAGAAATATATTAATGTTTATAGATGCTAATATGGAATTTCGTAGATAGGACATCATAGATTTAAAAAAAAGTTATTTACTGGTTGTTATAACTGTCTATAAATTTAATTCAATATTTAATTTGAAGTCAATATTTGGCTATTCCGATTAATACTAACGATACTACGCTAAAAATCATATTAAATTAGTTTTTGCTGAAAGAGATGTGAAAAATATGCTAGATCTGTAGTGAAAGATCGATTCGTGAATAAATATTTATATTAAAAAATGTAGTATTTAAATTTTGATGAAAAAAATATATATACTTAAAAGAATCTAAAAGATCTAAACTTTCTAATTAATTAAAACCTAGTGAAATGTTTTAATGGCTTGTTAAATATACTATTGTAAACAATTAATAGTCAAATATGTTTGATCTAATACTGTGAGCTTGCCGCGATTTTCATTAATGAAAATAAATTTATAAATTGTATAAGTAAAAATTATAAGGACTATCTTAACACTTTATGATATTATTACCGCATTGCAATATTAATTATAGTAAATTGTTATGATTTATTTGTGAAAATAATTTGAACATTTCAAACTGGAATTTAAAGTTTTTGTTTCATCATTGGAAGCAAATGTTATTCACCATTTATTACAATTTCTTGTAACATATCATCGAAAAATATTTACGGTATAAGTATACATCTTCCTGCTCAAGGAAAGTAAATATTGCATTAAAACCATCAAAGGATAATTTACTGTCAATATATAAATTATAATGTAGGTATATTAAAGAATACAATTACAGCTTATGGATAAATAAATCACATTATAATTAAAAAAAGTAATAAATAAAAAGCGTAACAATCATATTATAAAACAGTTTGAAAAATTTAGAATCCTTAAAGAATTTATAATCCTTAAAAAAAAATTTATTCAGTTAATTACACTTTATTCCAAGTTACTAATTAAAATTTTAATTCGAAAATATACATAAAAAAGGAGAACATTATGTAAATATAAGGTTCAAACTTACATATATTTTATTAATCAAGAATAAAAAATTTCTTATTACATACTTTAGTGAAATATTCAAAGTATGTAATTATTTTTATTATAACTTCATGTGTTTAAAATTATATTTACAATTAGCTATTATTATTATAGCTTTTACTATATAAAGCTAATCGTCAAATGAAACATTAACAAAGTGTAGGAAAATCTTCATGCTTATATGTAGACACAAATTAATGTTCTCGTGTCTGCAGGTACACGGTCAAAACAAAAACGGCGGAGAGTCTCCGGACAGTGGTCACAACACCTCATCTTCGCCGGTGGAATCGGCTTCAAGTCCTGCCTGCACCGGGCGCTCGTGTTCCGAATTTGAGTATTCGGAGTCGAGCGATCTCGAAGGATGCGAGCGCATCGAACGAATCCGTTCAAAGACAGCTATCAACACGAGTCGCATACCATCCATGTGCGTGATAACACCACCCAACTCTGATGACGAGCATCATCACCAACGACATAAGGATTCGGCACTAAAAGAAACGAAACCAAGAAAGGACCCGGGCTCCATACTTATGTCCGCTACTGTGGGCACGTCCAAGATGGAAGTCATCAATGGTCAAGACAAAAATCTGTACGCTACAGTTCAGACGGTGTTGACCTCGAGCGAAAAAGGTTTGTCAACGATTTAAACGACATGTTTCTGTAAAATTTCAAACGTGCTTAATTTAAATAATAATAAATGGTATTTATATTACAAGTAAGCATTGCAACGCACATGTTTTTAATAATTTATAGTACTTGAATTCGTGGTATGTTTATTTAGTAAACGCGCGTCTTATCCATCATTTCACCGTTCGTACACTTTAAAGGTAAAATTATTAATATTAAAATAGTAAAATAATAAAGATAAATATTTCGATAATTTTTATAGACTGAAAAATTCGACGAACTTATTGGAAGTAAGTTTACGTGAAAACGACTACTTTTACGTCGTTTCATGTAGTATTCATACTCTATTTCAAGAATTTTTTTCAATTTATTACCATTATTCACGAATTATCTATTCATATTCTTATAAAGCCTTAAATCTGACTTGCAGCAGTTACGGTACCGATTACAAAAGTCAGCCCTTTGAGCGGTGTCCTGGGTAAGCTCCGCGGCGTTCTACCAGGCAGGAAACACCAGTCAAAGTCGAATCCGAACAGCCAGGAGGCGTTGCATCAGCAGCAGATAATCGAGGCTGGAGACTACGTGACCATTGCCGACGTGAGAAATAATAACGACAAGAGGCAGCCGAGAACCGCCACATATGCCAACGCGGACCTCTTCCAACGCGATGCCGAGTACGTGAGCCTCAGCGAGCTCCCAAAGAAGCAGGACTCATCCCTTGAGAGGCGCCGCCAAGGTGCCAGAGTTACCTTGGACTCCGAGGGCAAGGTAGTCTATTCATCGGACAGCCTGAAAAGGAGGAAGGGAGCCCACACGACCTTCATCCCAGGTACATTGAAATATTGAATATAATATTTGCGGTTATTATAATTGGTATCGCTAGTGTTACTGACCGCGTCGTCGGTATAGTAGGTCGCACATTTAAAGCCATACGTCTACCCAATATGAACAGATTATTTTGCTTGGAATTGTTCGATGCAATTTTTGAACGCCTATACGGTAAATAATTTATCATCAATGTAATCAATAATTGTAAACAAGCTTTGTAGACCTCAAATAGCTAACAATATTAACGTCTTTTTTTTATCTAATACGATATTTTCAGTATTTCTTTAATTAAGTTTAATATAGTAATTTAATATAACATTGAAACGCTTTTGTTTCAATATCATAATATAAATATCCATAATAGTACGAAAGTCGGAAAAAATTGTTTGCACCAATAAATAAACTATATACGCGAATGTTTATATCTTTGCATCGTTCTTATTCAACTTTTGAAGTGAAGTTTAATAATTATTGGATATGCACTCTTATTATGTAAATTCAATTCTATTACAACATATTGAGTAGGGCGTATCACTAAATAAACTGGACGATTATCCGTACGTATGTTAGTTCGACATAGCGGCCACCATATTATAGCACAATACACCATTAATGTTGAAAATGCAACAGTTCATATAAACATAAATAGTTACAAGTTTATGTGTTTTTTTTTATTATTGATTAAACATTATAATAGAGAATGCATCTTTGTTTTATTTTAATCTAATTACCTTTTTTATAATGTATCGGTCGATTTTCAATGGTTACGTAAGTTTCTAATAAAAAATTTTTACAATTTTGATACACATATAAAGTAATGGCCTGTGAAACAAAAATTCTTCTATTACTTGTACACCATAGCAAGAGGACTGATAAAACTCACACAACACATCTTAATCCTTGCAGGTCCGTTTGTTAAGGAAGGAGCATCCTCGCCGGCCTCCTCGCCACTTCTGCGACGTAACAAAGTGACGCCTCGGACGGTGCAACGAACGACTACGAGTGCCGTTGACGGTGAGGCGCGACTAAACTCCGACATTTCCGTAACTCAACAACAGCCAGGCAAAATCATAATCCGGGCGACCAAGTCGCCGGAACGCACGTCAAGCCCAGACTACATACGGACGCCATTGACAGTTGTTGGACCGAACCTGACTTCAGGCGGTCAGCGTCAAGGCGCTTATGTCAACGTCCAGGGCGGCGGCGAAGGTAAGACAGCGACCGGTTTCCGTAAGTCGCTGACGAGCACCAAACCACGGGTCAACGGCACCGCGCGTACCTCTAAAGCACCCCGCGACGAGATCAGAAGCCTTGATTCCAGAGCCGCGGACGGGAAAACGGGAAAGCTGCGCGCGCGGCACCCCATGAGCCTCAGGTTCCGAGCGCACAAGCCTAGTGACTCCCTCGAGCGCAAGGGTTTACGCTCAAATCCTCGCATTAAAGCCGGCCACGCCGGACTCTACCCGGCGAGTCTGCGTGAAAGCGGTAATACTCCCAAGCTCACGAGACGATTGCCGCTTGTTGAGCCCGAAATTAAACCCCAGTCTCGGTCTCAGCCCTCCGAGAGTCCAAGAGACTCGTCTGAGGAGGCGCCGATTGCCGATACAACGCCCCGCGTCGAACGCAAGCTGAAGCGTAGCGAAAGTTACCGTATGGCTAATAGCCCAATCATGTTCATAAAGAAGCTCGGCAGTGGCTCCTCCTCCAATTCCTCAGCTGTTACATATGATAAAAACGCCCAGCGTATCTTTCGAACGGCCTCGGAGGAGCTGAGGGAGGACCTGCTAAAGGAGCGAATTAATTACCCTGAGAGTGTTGCTAGCCCCGAGCCTGAAGCCAGTGTCTCGGATGCAGAGGAGACGCCAGCAGGCGTCAACAGTTTTCAGTTAACTAGGAGTCCAAGACCGCGGCCGATCGACCTCGAACCCACCAGAGTTTTGAAGTATTCGGGCACGGACACGGAAATCTGGTGATTGACCGCGTGCACCTATTTAATTCTAATTGTAGACAATGTAGAAGAAGTGGCTTTAATTATGCCTCAACAACCGGCGAAAGCTGAGTCAATGTTGGATAGAGATTGTAATAATAGTCGCTCGACCTGGGTATTCTTATTTTGATCTAATTTAATCTGGTGCATCATAAGTATTTGTCTGCGTGTGGGATTACATTTCTATCTATATTTCTCACAAAAAGCTGTTAAATACTAATTTTCCATTTATGAAATTTAAATTTAGATTGTCTTTTTAAAATAAATCGCATTTACTTACAAATGCATTTGTGAACACGAAGGGTGTATTTAGAAATGTCTTAATAACGTTTAAAAGTGTATGAAATTAATTAGTTCATAGCTTCATTCTTAGAAATTCTTAAGTACGATTGTACACAAGATGAAGTATATCTATATTAAATAAAAATTACCAAATAATAGATTCCGAAACAAAGAAATGAATAATCCTTTAAAGTTACAGAACAAAAATTATTTCTAGTATTATCTGAATATTCTTATCTATAAAAATAAATACGAAAGTTTAAATATAAATAATGTTTACATCATACGATTTTAATCAAATGGTAACATTTAATCATAGTAATAAAGTACATCAATACGTTTATAATTGATTTTCTTAATGTAATCTCGTGCATATACTGTTTAATTAGAAACATACTATGATTGAAAAATAGGAAGGAAATTTACTCGATGAAAACTATTATATGCTCGAGTTAACAACATCAATCAATTTTATTTTTACTAAGTTAAATAAAAAATTGCGTTTATAAGTGAATATTAAAATTAAGATATCCAATTTTATAAAAATATTAAGATATTTATAATACAAATGTATCTCGTTAGGTGTAATAGACTCACTTATAATTAAAAGATATATTAACTTTTGTTCTTAAATTAATCATTAGACGTTATAAATTAAACTTTCATTTTTTAAACCGATAATAATCAATAAAGGTGTTTCATTTTCATACTAAATAAATTAATTGATTCAAATGATACTGAATTACATTTATATTATTATTTATCCATTACTAAACATAAGGTTTGCATTTTTATTAAATGTTTTTATGTATGACTATTCAGAGGGGCTTATATCGCCCTGAATAAATTGCGGATCAATAATAGTCACGTTTTCACACGCTTGCCGTTGTACATTGTGCATACTGATAATTTTATCAGGCTTCCTACACTCTCAATCATAGTTTTCCTTTCCTTCTTTCGAAGTCACCCCCCCACCCCCCCTATCATTTGCACAAGCACGCACACAAACATTAATGTCCGACTACATTAATCTCCACTTTCTTATCACTTATTGTTTTACTATTTTACGTGTCGTTCAACAAGCTTTGTTTCTCAGAATTAATTTTTCACTTTCCTTTTTATTCCACTTTGATATTAGAAATTGCTTGACTGACAGCACTAATTTGCTTGCTTTTCAGATAAAATGAATAGTAAAAATGAATATTGTTGATATGGTTATGTGTCTTTCCTTTAGCTATTTTTTTTATGATTGTTAATGGGCCACGTCAATCGTTATTTAAAGGATACTTTTAACAACTATTATTCATCTGTACTTATTTGAGGAAGAAATGTACATAGGAAGCCGGTATAATAACTATTTCTTATTACTGTGCATCGTTCTAAATTACCAAATCGATGATAAATAATGTTCAAATTTTTTCCAGTATAAATTACACTATAGATGTCATATCTTTCATTCCATATTGTAGATGAAGTACAATACAAACAAAAAATTTAACAAACATTTGCATTCTTAGCTGTATAATATTAGTATTGAAAAATAGGATCCAGATTAACTTCATCATCATCCTTCTATTTCACTTTTCGTTTCTTTTTCATTTTCTTTAATTCCATTGAGTGATGCAAGTCGTATATTTTCCAGTGTATTATCTTACTGATTATGTTAAAAGAATCCGGTTAACCCCAGCGACGTTCGTTCAACAAGGTTAACAGATAGCTCAAAGAAATTCTTTGCGCTATGTTCTTCCTCCATTACGTTATTCATTTATTACTAATGTATTATACAGTAGATTATCGCATTCCTATAAAGTATATAATCGTGAAATTTTCAAAAAATTAAATTTTTTATTTTTTCATGAATGCTTTACATTTGCACTTCTCAAATGTTTTTAACTAAAATTTGGCTATAATTGTGTATACGTATACAGATTATGTAATTAATAACAAAATAAACAATTAGTTAGAGATAAAGTTAATTTAATATTATCGAATTATATTAATATTTATCGAATCAAAATATATATTAAATGTGTCATTTGACACTACATTATGAACATCTAAGTTATTAATTACACTCCTGTCCAAGATGTAATAATGATCGACTTTTCAGTCAATTTAAACAAATATGATTTATTGAAAAATATATTGAAAATTTTAAGAAAATATTTTTTTTTTTAAGTAAAAATTTCAATGCTTCAAAATTTAATATTGAGTTAACTTACTGAGATCTACTTATTGTATGTACTTATTGTGTAGTATTGTCTCTCTTTTCCTTTTCAAGATCATCAAGTTAACTAGTATGACATCCAAGTTTTACCCATCATTGAATTTTAATTGCACTCTCAATTCTTCTCTTATAATAATAGATCATTACTGGATAAGCAATACAATATCAGCGCTTTTATTGATTTGATTATTATTTGCATTCTGTGTTTCAAATCGTCGCGTTAAGGTTTCTCTTATTATTTTGAGTATATCCTTTAAAACAAGCGATTTAGAAAATCTTTACTGTTCTAAGTTCTTATAAATAAGTTAACCAACAATTTTAATAAGTATTAAAAATTTTAATCTTTAATTTCGAATTTTTGTTCAATTTCCATAATGGAAATTATTGTATAATTGTGGCATTTTTAATCAAGTTAAAAATTCTGGAGTAAATAAAAAAATCATTTTTCAGCATGTAATAAAGAAATCCACAGAATCTATTGAATGCAAGTTCAATAATTAGTATAAGCATGATATCATCTGGTGCCACTTGGCAAAAGTAGTTCATGTAGTATGTCGTATATCTATTTAATCTATTCAGATATTTATGAAAAATTAAACACAATTTCTATATATATTGATATTAGATTTAAATAGTATCTTTAAAATTTAGATTTAAAAAGTAGATAAAGCGTCAGATGATTTAAATAATGATGATTCAGGTAATGTTTCTATTCATCAAATTGTAATTAGTAGATAACATGTTTATCGAAAAAAGTTGACCATCCTTTGTGCTACCGAAATAAGACAAATGGGATTATAAAGATTTAAACTGTTATATATCATCTTTCGGAGATTAGGAAATAATTATCTTATCTTGGACATCGGTTGATGAAGGCGTAGAAAGAAATAGTTTATGTTATTGAAATATGCTTGATCGATAAAATTAGAATAAAATGTAATTACATACAAAAAATAAACGATTCTATTTGCGTAAGTGTATCATCCCATGTAATTCTAATTATTATCGCGCCAAACCGAGGCTAATTGATATCAAGTATCACGTCCTTCGCGTTATGTATTATTAACCTGTTATTGTAAAATTGAGGGACGATATACGCAGAGATAAAATAATATATCGGAAGCGTAGTTAACGACTCGTAGAAAGACTTAACAACTTGTGGTATTAAATACGTTCTTGATCCATTACTGAGGAATTCAAATGCTTGCCAACCAATTTTAATCCCGAATTTTAAGCAAATTTCAATCCCAAACAATGGTTATCAAGAAAGCTAAAAAATAAATAAATAAATATTAATTAATTTATTTAAATTTTAAAACATAAAAGGTTTATATATCTAATGTTAAAGTTGAAAATTATCTGGATCTATTTAAACATCTGAAATTCATTGAAGTTTTTACTAATACCTATTTATATTTTAAAATTGTTTAGTAGATTTCAAAATTATAACAATATTATATGAAGAATTACTGATTTAGAAAATAAGCATTGTCAACAACTGGTAGTAAAATGATTTATTCGAACTATTTAATAAAGTCAACTTAAGTATTTTCACTTATATAAAGTACTAATAAATCATAATCATAATTATAATTATTTTCTGACGTTGACGAAATAATAAAATTCAAAAATAAAACAAGCATTTATCATTAATTCAATGAACTCATCTTGTTTACTTCGTATTGCATAAGGATATATATATATATATATATA